CGAAAATATTGAAATAAATTCGGAAATAAATACGAGCACGGGGTTGAACCCTGATGGGTTGGGATACCACAGTCCACCTAACCATCCAACCACATATTGGTTCGCGTATTGAATACGATACCTGATACCCACACATAAGGTGTGTGATTTTCTTTGACAAAGGGTGGATTTTATTTACTTAAAATGAAGTATCAAGAGGATACAAACACAATAAACACACATTGAAACTCTGCATAATTAGGATGCACATAATCAACACCAACACAGACACAAAAACACATCAGCAAATAGCAAAGTCATATAGAACCGAAGCTATGCTTAAGTGAGGAAAAAAACAAAGTGATCAGATCTGTAATAAGCAAACTACGATAATGACTATATCCGGACCAATCATCTCATGACACCGAGGTTCTTCAACAACAGTACCTTTAGAAAGGGAGCGGCACTCAAGCATCATCATCATCGGATCCAACCAACACGTGAGGCATCTGACATGGTGTCTTTGTAGAAGGATCAGATCCATATTGCATACAAGGGGGGTATTTTAACCATTTTGTTTTGTTTTGAAAATCGAGTTTAAATCAAATTTTGACTAAACAACTTGGTATTTTTTGTGGGAAAGATGAAAGCTAGTTCACGACAAACAAATTTCCTCACCTGATCATTTTTTTTGGGTAAAAACTTTGTATTACTCAAGTATCATGGCCATTACAAATCAGCATGAGCTAGCTCTAAAGAGGCTGAAGGACCTGAACCTATCCAACTCATAGCCCTGCCTTCATCTCTCACAAACTTTGCTAAGTTCAATTAACATGAGCAATACAAGTTTTACAAAGGCTCATCATATGCCTAATCTCTAATAATAGCAAAGTAAATCAATCTATCAATTTCAAGTGATCGAATTAACTTCACAGTGATAATGAAATCCATCTCCATTAAGATTGGAAAGTCGCTTCCCTGAATTGACAATGAAAGGCCCTTCATGCAAGCGCATAGCTCTGCTTCCAAACCTCACGGCAGATGTTCCGCATGACAAGAAAATTATAGCTCCTTTATCACCTGATCATATATGTTTGGCTGTGGGATCTCTAGCCCCAAATTTCTCTATTGCAAACTCCCCCAAAGTGAAGATAAAGCGTGGTGGGTGGACAAAACCAATCAAAGGTCATGTTAAACTGAATGTGGACACTGCTTTTGATCCTGACTCACTTCAAGGCACAGTTGGTGCAGTTTTAAGAAATGACAAAGGAAACTTTACTGTGGCAGAAAATGAGGAATTTATTTTTTTGATATATGTATTGATGCTTTTACGGCAAAGGCACTAGCCCTCCGATTTGGACTGAATCAGCTCAAACGGTGGGGTGCAATAGATTGATGGTCAATTCAGACAACACATATGTTATTTTGACTATGCCAGAGGGCGGCTCCTTTGCTGGTATTGCTGCGAAAATCTTTGACGATTGTTATCATATGTCTCTTGATCTATCTCATATAATTTATGAATTATGTCATAGAGAAGCTAATAGTGTAGCCCACGAGCTAGCTAGAATAGTTAGATTTTCTTTCCCTAGTAATTGGTTAGATAAACCCCTGAGGCTATAGTTTCACTCCTTATCAACGATATAACTTTTTTTTTCAAAGGAGGATGTACCCCTGGCCTTTACATCTGACGGATGCATGCAGCCATTTTATTAATTATTCACAAAGCCCTTACACGGTGATACATCAGTAAGCCTGAAGCCACCATCTTGACATCATCTGTCGCTACTCCTATCCCTGTGATGAAGGGGTGCCGAATGTTCGAGACTAATACCAAACAGACATCGCACCAACACTGAACATCTAATGTTGGATGCCCCATCCAAGCCACAATACCTGGATTGGGTTACACATCGGTCCGGTGCACTTTCAGTGGGCACCACATGCGCACGCTGCAAGGGCCGTCACGTCCCTCATCCATCAATCCATTCTTAGACCAGATATTAACGCATCGACCTTGCCATGCCTCTCGGCCATCGACGCCACCATGATGCCAGACAGCGTCGTCCTCCTGCACGAGTCCACCGCCACCCATCGGCACCGAGTCTCCACTGCACCATGCCGCTGAGATCTGCCACCATCGATGTGTAGGATGAAGCACCGCTCCACCACCTACCGACGCCTAACCACCAAGCCGTTCACATGTCCGTCCAACCGATGAATGTCTTCAAAGATGATGCCCCCACGCGGGTGACGATGAATATGTCGCCATCATCCGATCCAGGAGGCCCCTCAACGCCTCCAACGAGAGCTACGACACCCACGGGCGCCAATGTTAATGGTAGCCTCCTCCAGATCTGAGGTTTCCCCGGTAACAATGAAGCGAGGGATGCCCCCACCATCGCCTCCAACGAGGAAAATGATACCCCACAGGCGCCGCCGACGATGGTGGCATCCTCACCCACTTTAGTTAGGCCACCATCTCCTCCTCCACTTGATCCGTTGTCGGCAAGCCACCGCGAGGCAACACCCACCGACCAGATCCCTTTGAACCGACGATGAAGACAACCAAAGGTAGAGGAGGTCACATCGCTGTGTGACCGGCGCCATGGCCACACACATGTCGTCCCGAGGCGCTCGCTCAAGATCGATCCACCGTCACAGCCACGCCTCCAAGCCGCGATTGAGGGACGCCCCGCCGCCGCCATCATCCCCTTGCACGGGCTTTGCCCGGTCAAGATCCGACAGTGGCGGGAGTGGAGGCAGACGGGAGACGGAGGGGATCAGAAGGAATCTGGAGGGAAGGGGAGGGGAGGCGCGGATGTAATTGTGACAACTGAATAAAGGAGTTTTGATTGTAAAAAAAAAGGGTTGCTCACGAGGCAGGATTACTCAATAACCGGGGCTAACTATGACCAAAACTGAGAATTTTTTTTTTTTTTTGAGGATCAAATGCTGCCGCTTTATTGACTAATTAAACGAAACTAGGAAAATTTAGGGGTTGAGGAAAATGAGATTTAGTGGTTGAGGAAACTGAGATTTAGGGGTTGAGGAAAATTAATTTTTTTGGGTAAAAAAGCACAAAAGAAAATAAATTACCTGAGGCGTGGTCGCAATTGCTCCACTCATCCTCGCCGCCAACGCCTCAAGTCATCCGCGCCGCCTGATCATTGCGCCGCCCACTCACCAGTTCAGTCTTGTCATGCACTTCCGAGGCTTCAAAGCACTAGGGTTATCATATTTGTACAGATTTAAAACGGGTGATGAGAGAACATCACACCGGCTACACCTGATCGCTTGTCCTGCAGGGGAGTGATTTTTCTTTTGGTGATGCGTTGGAGGAATTAAGAATTTCGCTCCAGATAGACGTCAGATTTTTTAGCATGGCACATTATGTTGTGTCGAGGATGGTAATTTCCTTAGTAAGCATGGCAAATTTTTGTCATGTTCAGTTTTTGTCATGATTACTAAAGAAAATGTCATCCTCATGGCAACATAATTTTTAATGAAAATTGTTTGATTTGCCATGGTCAGATTTTTAACATTGTAGGAATTAATTAAGTTTTATTCTCCCGCAGGCCTATCACTGAGTAGTTTCTCTCAACTAGGTGTTGCGAGAGCATAAAAAATCATGTTTGATATTTGGCAAACCAGCTTGTGTCAACTTTTCATGTTTTACCCGGAAAAAAAAACTTTTCATGTTTGATATTTGGTAGACCAACTTGTGTCACATGACCGGTGTCCTACCTTTGTCAAGTCCAATCTTTGAAGGCAGTTACGCTTGTCCGTTCCTCACAAACTGGGTTTTAGTTTGTGAGTGAAAATGCGGGACCATCATGCTTCATTGTGAATGAAAGAATGAATGATGAATTTTTTACAAACTATAGTTTCTTTTGAGCTAGAAACTATGTTCCATTGATAGACAAGGATTTTATGCTCCAGTTTTGCGCCATACACTGCATAGTGTCAGCCACAAAACTGGCTTATTACAACTTCTAGGATAGTAAGGCAACCAAAAACTAGTAAAACACAAAGACAAAATAAAATTATCTTCTGAAAAAGCACACCATTGGCCGAAAGATCATACGTACTTCTTACTACCAATAGATTGGATGCAGACAATGCAGTTTTAGGCTGGCCATCGACAGTGGCAAAACGACGGGATGCTAACGGCTGGGTGATTGCCTGATTGACCGTGTCGGCTCACTCTTCTGCAATTCATATCCTAGGTAAGAGGATTTCACTAAATTTAACTTTTGTTTTGAGCCATGAAAGCATTTCCCCAAAAGGGAGGGAATAAATGGGTTCCAAAAATCAAAGAAAAATATTTTTGTCGACTTGGATGATTTTCTTTTGAGCCTTTTGATGTTTACCAACTTTATATATTCATTAAAGTTAGGGGAGATATATGACTAATCCAATTAATAAGCTGGAAATACTCCCTCCGTGCTACATACATCCGTTTGGGCGATAATTAATTCCAAATGGAGGGAGTATTTAAATATCATTTATACTCATAACTGGATTTAGTTTTACTTGCAGCAATTTCCAAAAATGAGAAGATAATATGACTTTCTTCACCATATTGAGCTGGAAATTATTTCAGTACTGTTTTTTATGCATTTTGGGACATAGAAAAATATTTATGGGAATTATTAAAAACCCTAAAAGTATTTTGGGGAACAAATAAACGCCATTTTAAGCATATGAAAATGTATTTTATAAAGGTACAACTAGGCTGGAAATATTTTCCCTAAGCTCTACAATTCTATTTTGATTTGTCTAAAATTTGAAGGTTTACGTTGGTGATGGAGTAGCACCCAGAGCTTGCAATAAGATCTATACCATTTATTTGTGCGATGGCTAGGAGGATCATTTCGTCCCACAGTTTCCCCCCTCTACAACGGCGCCAACACATCACCTTTGTATGTGGCGTTTCCTTGGCCGCGCTCTGGGCGCCGCTGCACGTCGAGGTCGAGGTGATTGGCGCCGGCGAGCATATTACTACATGGACTTACCCATCACACATTCCCGACTCCCGTTACAAGGGCTTGAACGCAGGCTCGTGAGGATGCTTTACTGTCAGGGTCGCTCGCTAACAGAGACACAATTCTTTTCATGGGACTGACCACAGCCGCCATACGACCGCTGTCAGTGTCACACTCACCGGGAAGTTCGACCTTCTTCGCTACTACTTCATACTTGAGCTTCTTCTTGTCGTCTGTGGCATCGATGGAGATCGTCGAGCCTTCACTGGCTTCACCTTTCATCAGCATCAGGGACAGCTTAGTCACCACATTCTTCTCCAACCATCTCCTTATGGGCCTCGCACCATACATCTGTGACAAGACAAAGCATGCTTGGTTATCAAACGTACACACACACACATGAAAACATGCATTTAAATTTGAAAAAAAAAAGGAGAAGCTTTGTGTACTGGGTTGTATGATTCCGATAAAATGACGTCCAATGCGGCATCACTTGCGAAAAGAGAGATGCCCTTGTCAGCCACCCTCGCAATCACACTCTTCATTTGGATTTTCACAATCTCCTTCAGGTTGTCATGCAAAAGGGGCTCAAATACCACAATCTCACTCAGCCTGTTCAGGAACTCAGGCTTGAAGTGTTTCTGAACCTGCACAGACAATATATATGAGAAACTCAGGCCTTAAGTGTTTTCTGGGCCTTCACACCAGCAGTCTGAGATTCACAAACCTGTTTCATCAAAAGGTCACGTGCAGCATCCATTGTGATTTCTCCAGCCATTCCTGCCATGAGGTGCTCTGCTCCTATATTTGAGGTCATAATGATGATGGTATTCTTGAAATCTACCGTCCGTCCTTTGCCATCGGTCAACACACCATCATCAAGAAGTTGAATAAAAATGTTCAACACCGAGGGATCTGCCTTCTCTACCTCATCGAAAAGGATCACACTGTATGGGCGATTCCTAACTTTCTCAGTCAGTTGCCCGCCGTCATCATAGCCATCATGGCTTTAAGAAGTTACAAAAGAAGAATTAGTATCAATCAAGCTAAAGACTAAGAAGTAATGCAAGGTTACAAAATATATTAAAAATTACCTTGGGGGTGCTCCAATGAGTCGCAAAATAGATCCACTGCCAACATATTCAGACATGTCAAAGCGAACCAACATCTTCTCACTCGCAAATAGCTGTTCAGCGAGAGCTTTTGCAAGCTCTGTCTTTCCAACACCAGTTGAGCCCAAGAAGAGGAAAGATCCTATGGGTTGGCCCGGATGATCAAGGCCAGTCATAGAACATACCACTGCTTCAGCAACCACATTTACCGCTTCATCCTGGCCAACAACTCGCTCATGAAGCCTGTCCGCTAGGTGGATTAACTTATCCGTTTCCTCTTGCTCAAGTGCACATACAGGAATTCCAGTCCATTGGCTCACAACCTTCAAACGACAACGTTAACGTTAGAATTTGCATGACAAATATTGATTGAAACAGCATATACACATGTCGTTGGAGGAAAATGCTTACTTGTGCGACATCATTTGGTTCAACAGCTGCTCCCTTCAATGAATTTTCAGAGATCGCCCTTTTTATTTTGGCAGTGCATGCCTCATCAATCAGATCAATAGCCTTATCCGGAAATTGACGACCTATGGTAAAGACAGCAACAAAAATCCATTAATTTTCTACAATATATAATCCATTGTTGACACTCATTGGTGCAACTCGGCATAAAAGAAAAATTGTAGTGCAGGTTACCCCATCAATTTATATGCACAGGACAGTAAAGATTGTATTTCTAGATTTATTTCAACTTAATGTCCACAATTCAGCAAGGGCTCTAATATATATTCTTGCCCTTGAATTGCACATCAAAGTCTATGCAGAAGTTTTATTAGCATGTGAACCATGGGGCCTTAAGATGGGGCAGGCAATAACCACAAAAGATCATCTTTAGATCTGTACATCCTAATCACCTCTCGAAACAATAGAAGCAAGTAAATTCCTCACCGGTGATGTAGCGGGCAGCAAGCTGGGCAGCAGCAACAAGAGCAGAATCTTGGATTTCCAAGCCATGATGCTGTTCGTACTGCTGCTTTAGCCCCTGCAGTATGCCAATTGTCACCTGCATGCTTGGCTCCTCGATGTGCACCTTCTGGAATCTCCGCTCAAGTGCAGGATCCTTCTCAATGCAATTGCGGTAACCATCAAAAGTCGTCGCACCTACACAGCGGATACGACCACGGGCCAAAGCCGGCTTCAGCAAGCTGGAAGCGTCTGTATTTCCGTGGCTATCACCAGCACGAGGAAGCACATGCATCTCATCAATGAAGAGAATTATCTTGCCGCCTACATTCTCTGCCTGCTTTATGACGCTCTTCATTCGCTCTTCAAACATACCGCGCAAAACGGTCCCGGCAACCATGGCCCCGAGGTCGATCTCCACAACACGTGCCCCAGCAAGTGCAGCAGGTACCTTACCGGTGGCGATGCGCTGCGCGAGGCCCTCAGCGATGGCAGACTTGCCAACCCCCGCGTGGCCAACTAGCGCGGCGCAGTTCTTGGTCTTGCGGCAGAGGATGGAAATAACGCGGTCGATCTCATCATCACGGCCAACAACCAGTCCGACTCCCTTGCCGGTGATGTGGCGTCCGTAGGTGCGCATAGCCGCCTTACGATCGTAGTACGTCCATGCTGCCCAACCCAAACCAACAGCTGCTCCAAGGAAGACGAAAGGTTCGATCCCTTGCCAAATCGAAGATAGCTGATGGAGAACACTTCCTTGCGCAGCAGCTCTTTGCACAACCTGCGCCCCGAGCAGTGGATCGTAGGTCCCTCTCATACCTGTGCAGAAGCCCTGACCTGAACGAGGAAAAGGACAGCAATGCTTCATATATATAGAAGAGGGGGTACATGTACATATACATATACATAATCGAGATAAATTCTTGTTGTAAAAGGATCGGAGTTTGTTCCAACATCAAACTTTATTCTGTTTCCGTTCTAGAAACCTTGTTGAAATCAAACTTTGCTCAAAGATCATGAGGAACGTTCGTTCCCTGCCTCGTGAAAAGTATCGACTTTTTCTCTTAATTAAGTATAACAAAATTTGCAACTGTAAGAGAAGGAAAACTGTGGGGCGAGGCGCAAACAAATTACCTGACCAGTGACCCAAGATGTTCCAGTCCTCTGCTCCGCCGCCGACTCCCTACCCCGCACCAGGGAGCCGTCGTCAGCTCGACCTGTTCAGGTCAGGCCCGCTCCCCCCAGCGCCGCTCGAGTCCCAGTTCACCCCACGCTACTTCGCCGCTGGCCTGCAGCGAGCAGCTCGTCGTCTCGACTCGCCGGCGCCGCTCGAGTCCCAGGTCACCTCAGCACCACTCGCTGCTTCGCGGCTGGCCTGCAGCGAGCGCCTCGTCGTCTCGATCCGCCGGCGCCGCCCGACTGCCAGTCCACCTCTCGCTGCTTCGCCGCTGGCCCCCTCGCCGTCCCGACTCGCCGGCGCCACTCGAGTCCAACCCGGACCCTTTTTTTCTGGTCTCGAGTCCAACACGCACCTCCCGAGGCCTCGAAGCACTAGGGTTCCCCCTTATGGGCCCTGCCGCAGTTGGGCCACAAGAGGCCCAGTTTGAGCAAAAGCAGTCGAGCCCACTAAACCAAGGCATTTCATGTAGAGTATCTCTAACAAACCCTGTATAATGCCAACCCGTAAAATGCGTATACAGTTCGCGGAAAAAGGGCTTTGCGGGCTGGCGCGGGCGGCAGCCAATGTCTTTTTTTACGGATCCATTTTGCGGGGTCTGCTCAGCCGCCGCCCGAGCCGGCCCGTAAATCAGTAATTGCATTTCAATTTCGGGCATGAAAACACATTTCTTTACTTGGTTATTTTCTTCAAGGGCATTGGATACATAATAATTCATCAAATATTTGCTAAAATAGTAAGACCAAAGAAAACAAGAACCACAATTAGGCATTTTAAAAGATATCCAACTTTCATAACTGCTCCCAGTAGTTGGACAAACATCTTCTCCATGCCTTCATTGTTGATCTGCGGATTCTTGATCTTGTATTCTTCATTCTTCTTTTTTGATTCTAAAGAAGTAGACGTTGCTTCCCCTCTAGTTTCTTCTCTAATTGCACATGCAACCACATCATTAGCCTCAATTATACCAACAAGTGCACGCACATCTAGTAAGTTTCTTTCTATCAATAAATCGATGTATTCTTCTTCCAAAACCAAAATAAGCATCCACCTTCCTGCACACATGGCCATCTCAATAAGCTATCGAAATTGAACCGAATAGGTTGACAAAGCCGAATGAAAACAAGAACATACCCCGTCGTTTTTGCATTTGAAGAAAACCCATTCGGGGTGTTTCGGCGTGCTAGATGTTAGCAGCAGTATTGTCTGTGTGCAGTCATCGCACTGCATGAGCGGCATCAGCGAGCCGGCTGCGCTAGCACCGAGCCCGGGCGACGACTGGCCGAGTCCTTGCGGCAAACCGATGACGACGGCTAGAGGATGAACTGGTACCTGCATGCGGCGCTGGGGCTTTGCCGGGGCTCTGCGGGGTGCTCCCCGGCCAATCCATGGTTTGGCGCAGGCACCGGAAGCCGGAAACGCCAAATCCGGCGGCCGCGACAAACAACCGCCGATCTGCAACTTTTCGGCTCGCCGGCGTGGTCCCAATGGCTGGTATGGCTGGAATCGTGGGCGGTAACCCGACGGCGGTGGGTGGGGAAAAGCGCGGGCTGAGATGCCCCCCCTCCCCCCCACCAACCGCTACCGCTATATACAGGGCACCGACGGGGCGAGGGGTAGAACCCGCATTTTCGCGGGTTGGGTGGGAATTTTGCCGTGCCCCGCAAAAAATTTACGGGTCCGACACATTTGCGGGGTCTGATCGGGCGGCATTTTTCACGTGGACCCGTGTTTTAACGGTTATTTTGCAGATCAGCACATTATATAGAGTCTGCTAGAGCTGCTCTTTGACGCTATAGGCCAGCAATGACAAATGCTATAGGCCAGCAATGACAAATGCTATTTAGCCGCTATAGGCCAGCAATGACAAATGCTATTTGACGCCTACCGTGTTAAGTAGTA